ACAGAGTCTTTAAAACGAGCGGTGGCTCACCCAGCAAAGATTATGTTTTTCTGGCTAATCGTCAGTGAAAAGCATGTATCATTGCTGTTCTCTTCGCAGTTCCTACACCTTGTTCTATCAAGCTTTAGCCAAAATCCGCAATGCTTTAGCCAAGAGCCGTAGTCCTTTAGCCTCGCCGCTGAAAATTTAAACACACCGCTGTAGGAGAGTCAGATCAAATAGCATCGGAATATTCGGAAGTTAACGAATGTTGAACAGTTTACTCTCTACAAATGTTGATGTTCCAAGCTGCGTTCATAAATGAGGTATGACGGTCGCGTGCTGTACCACATATTGATTGGAGCAGATTTGACAGGATTTGCCCGTATCGTCAACCCATTTGTCACATCTCGTTCAGCTTCTGTGTTTCCGTAGAACAGGCGAAATGCCTGTGAGAAAAATCTCAAGTGTAACACAAACGATAAACTGTTCGCATTCACAAGCCCTGAAATGAACCAAAAAGGGATACCACGAAAAGGTGAATGCTTACCGTTCCGTATCCCCACTGGAAGTGAACTCCGTTTATGAGACGTGGATGCATTAACTGTCCGAGAATAACAAAAACACCGTTCACAAAAGACATCCTTTTTAGTACACCTTTTCCTATCAAGCTTTTGACGTGACTATAATTCTTCATAGTTATATCAAACGTTGCAGCGTTAGAAAATCGATGACGGTAATGCGGTTGTAAAAACATACCATGAAAGGTGGCACTATTATTTGTTGTACATCACTTACGGAAATGGAGAACGACAAATCGGATCAACGGAAACGCTCGACCAGTATGAAGGACCGACGGCAAGTAATGAAATGTGCACGTGCAGAGGGTGATAGCTTAAAAGAATTTCTAAAACATTTCACTAAGATTAAAACATTTCGTGCTTTGGCAGTCAGGGGATCGGGAAATAGCACTCCAGCCGGAATCTTACAAGGCGAAGTTCAGACACAAAGCAGTTTGTGATGTTGTTGATGAGAACCGTACACCGACACTAAGGCGGTTAAAGGAAAGAATCGAAACGGACTTCCAGAAAATATCCGTGAGCAAAACTTCAGTGGATCGATTGCTGGACAGAGATCACTATTCAGCTAGAAAGCTGATCATCCAGCCCCGTGGAACGGAACTCAAATTAAAACAAGCGGAAAATGCTGATTGGTTTCAGGCATCGGGCAAAACGACACCCAGGCTGTATACTGACGAGACCAACTACAACATATGCTACTTTCGCAGCTATGGACGCTCTAAAGTGGCCTGTAAATCTGTTTGAAGCTTCCCATCCAGTAAAGGACCCAACTGGAATATAAATGGTATATTCACATATGGCCGCTATCTTGAAAATGAATGTCACACAAAGAGTACTTCGGACATTTTCAGCGGGTGTCTATCATGCTGCTTCACATTGGTCGCTATCGAACAACCGAGTGTGTTGGTTATTTTAATCTTTGACAAGGCGCCCCGTGCATCGGAGAGCTTTGGATGCGCAGTTACATGCCGACCAGCAAACTCGATTTTCCGCAGCATGCATTGCTTTCTTCAACCCGCTGGAAGAGATCTTCAGTAAATTCAAACAGGTGAGAGTTTTGAATTCTTTAATTCGCTTGTTACTTGCACACTGAAAACTGGTTCATTGAAAACAATAAAGTCATATGAGATGTGCCATGTGGGTTAATGTTACAGGCACATGGCTAAAGCATTCCCCAGTCAATGAGACGTGCGATATTTGATACCACTACGACGGTCATCTGCACAGCATACGATCGCCACACTTTCTCGTTTCCTCAACAAGCTTTTCAACATCCACGTTTATGGAAAATCAAATGTTTCGCCATTCGTTGATCTCACAATACTATTACAATACTACATTTTGATCTGACTCGCCTACCGCGGTATGACTCAAGTTTATGCGTCGGAGGCTAAAGGATTACCGGTCAAGGCTTCATGGACTGCGGGTTTTGGCTAATGCTTGATGGCAAAAGGTGTAGTACTATAATATGAAAACTAAATTTCAAATAACCGTGAATCACTGATTCGGAAACTCCAAAACTGTTACAGCAGCGTATCGAGCGGACCTCAGAAATGGGATGCGGACTGGTTGTCGGGGATAGATGAATAGTCCATGTCATAATATTGTCAAAATAACTGGCCGATGACAGGAAATTTGTGAATCTTCACACAGTGCAGCGCAGAACAGTGCATAGTGAAAAACAGGCAATTAAGAAATGGTGGTATTTATGAGAACCGATTTTCGAATCATTTCGACCGTGTAAACCACTCTTGTACACACCGGTAATGAAATGGCGCAAGGCTGACGCACCGCTGAGATCTTCACGGGTTACCCTCCGTAGCAACAAGTAGCTGGAAATAAATTCTAAAAGCATTTGCCAAACATTAAAAAATAACAAATCACGTGCATCTTTGAAAATGAACGATATCATTACTCTATCCCGATATCCCACTGATCACATTTTTTCGGCTTTTTGTATATCTTCGTTGAGCAAAATTCAATCTGAACAACTCGGCGAGCCTTACCAGGCCAGGCTGAATAATGGAGTTACGGTTCGACTGTTGCACTCCTGGTGCAGTCAAACCACAGGATTAATGTGGCCTCTCTATATGGTTCGCCTCCGTCGACGTTGGAGAATAATGTCGCACATTTTGACCAAAGGGTTAGGTGTTCGGAATCCACCTACATACCGCCTGCCCCGCTCTATATTCACAAAAAACAATTTTCTTGGATACTCATTCGTCCATGATCACGATTGCCTCCTTATCTGTCCCCTAGTGATCGACAAAATGCATGCAGGGAACATTCAGTCATGAACCATGAATGTGATTTTGTTCTAATTCTGTAATGATTTTTTCCCTACTAAATATTTTGACATTATGATGTCAAAAGAAAACAGCAAATTGCAATACTGCACGATTTATGTCCAGGACGATTTCGCTGCATCTCAACATGGTGCATACTACAGAAAAAAACATCAGTTATATAAGAACTTAGCATGGCAAGAAAGAAGAGTAAAATACAACAAAAGAGATAAGCATAAAAGGGGAGGAGCGGTTAAAAAGACTGTCACCAGGGTAAGGATAAACTAACAAAATTATTTTTTATCGACACAAGGGGGCTTCCATCGACTGATAACAATCGCTTCTGCAAACTGTAGCAATCTTGCGATTCATGACTTGTAGATAATCCGAAACGCCATGCTTCGGTCGATCTGGTGTTGCTTCATCAGAAGATGTCGAGCTATAGCTGATGACGGAGTCTTGCAGTTTCGACAGTTGTTTCTATGCCGCGGAACTGACCCAGATTGCGTCATCTGATTTTGAACCCAATTTGGAATATGTTCAACCACCCGGTTGCGTAACTGTCGCTCTGTTCTACCCACGTAGGTCGCTCCGCAACCACAGTGGAATTGGTAAATCAGATAGGAGTTGGCGTACAGAGGTAGACGTTCTTTTACCGGGGGTGTTGGTATTCTAGCTGTCCGATAGACGGTTTGGGGGTCGGCTGCATAGTAGGTTCGAACAATTGCCGATCTCAGTCGTTTTTTGAACAAACTGCCTACGTCATCACCTTTGAATTGGAGGCATAACGTGACTCGTAATTTTGATATAATATCCTGTAGATGAATCACCACAACTGAGCATGTTCGCTACTCTCGTTTTCTTATTATGTCTAATAATAGAATATTTCAGCATAGATTAATGCAAAAATTGCGTGGAAACTGGTTGCGTCATTCAACTTGTACGTCATTTTTTATTCTACAGGAACGTTTGAATCAATCTGTCAGCGGTTCATTTAACTTTGTGTAGTGTTTAGCTGTCCGCAACCTTTTGTGTGAGAACTACCAGCCGAGTGTGCTGTTTTCGATATCCGATCCGATTCTCACAGTTCTGACAGCTTGCAGATCCACAATAGTTTCCTTTGTTTTTGCTTCACTATGCGTTTTCTTTGGCTATCCGAACCCGAATGCTGTAGGCTGTACGCTTTGGCGAATGTTACATTGGAAGTTGGTGAGGCTATCTATGATTGATCGTCCGGCGCACGGAACGACGGTTTTTCTTACAATATGCAGTGAAGATATCTATTCGGGAGATAATCTCACTCTCACATACAAGAACAAGTCCTAGATTGGATTGGGAAGTTACAACAAAACATTTTGCAACTCAAAATACGTCTTCATTATATGCATACATATATATATCATATTATGTCCTTATATATTCTATATATGTCGTACTATATTATGTATGTTGAATATAGTCAAAGTAGGCTGGTTAGTTATTTCTGTTGCTTTCCAAAGTTGAATTACAAATCACCTGTGAATTATTGAGTGTAAAATTAATCAGTTCACGCTCGATCGAAATGTCTTTTCCCCTTCGTTTCCGACGCTTTGTCCGAATTCATTTGAAGTAGTTCGGTAAAAAACAACATACTTATCTTGAGGGCTTGCCACTTGCCACATGCACCAGTTGGACCAAATCGGGGACAGCACCTGCCGAAACACAGAGGAATAATTCACTCCAACAGATTTGGTCACGTGTTCATAAATACGTCTATTTATAAGGTCATCTGGCCTAGGCGTGCCTAGAAATCTAACGCGCAGAGTGAGACCACTAGTGGGTGGGGCAGAACTCTTTCACCCTCAACGCTTCAATCCGATTCGTCGACCGGTGAGGGCAATGGGATCAATGCTCACTTTTGTGAACCAATCAAAATTCGAGTCTGATGTTTACATGAGCAAGGTCACGTTTACGCCGGTTAGAGAGCGCTGACTGTGGTTGACTTGTGTTAATCATTGGGATTTTTCAAGTCGGGTAGACCGAATTCGTCACCGCATCGAGTGAATGCATGTGATCTGTCGAGTATTCTCCAGGTGGAATCAGTGACAATTCAGCCCTCCGATACATACGAACAGATAAAAATGAAGATCCGATCGCACTGATGAGTTAGGTATTCATGGGCGCGGAACAAAGTCGCATGTATCCAGATAAACATCGTCTCCTACGGAAACGTCTGAGTTTACCGTTACAACTGCTTACCACAAGCACGTCCGGGTGCGTGAGCACCGGTTGTCAAGGTGCGCTAAAACCGACAAGTTGTGAACTGAGTCAAACCACTCCGGGAAGCAGTTTCAGTCAACAAGAGGGTCAGTTGGTCAGAGATGCGACGGGTTTGGGCCAATCCAGTCGTCCAGAAACCGAGAACCATTTCAGCGATTTTGAACAAGATGTACTTTTGTCCACTTGGCCTCTAATTGCTGCCGATCTGGTACAGAATGGATGGCTGGTGTTTCAAAATGCGTTCAGTATTTTTCCCGAATTACCGAAATTTTTCAATTTTGAGTAAGTTATGTTGACTTACTCCCGCTTACGTATATTGTGTATATGAAGGGTAATGCAATGTTTTAATGGCGTGTAGCTTTTTCATTTTTTTCGGGAATCGTCCATTATGTATTTTAAACATTTCGAAAAATCAGTTTAGTGCATTGCTTGCTATGAGCATTCGATCACTCGCCTACCCGCGGTGTATCACGTGACCTAAAATATGGTCGTATGCACCCAACTGATTGACGGCTACTTCAGTGTGATTAGCCTAGTGGAGAACTGGTAGATTCACGTGACCACACATATTTGTCCAGTGCCCCCATGAAATCCAAACCAGATTGAATGTATTAAATAAAATCTTGATAACAAATTGTCTCATTGTGACATATTTCAACCCATTATGTGAGCACTTGTGTTTCTCAGGTCCATCCATATAGGTTAGTATAAATTAGAATAAGCTGCAAATTGTGTTCCACTTACGTCGATGAAACCGACTGTGATTCCTGTTACAATTGAGGTTCGGGGTGGGGGTGGGGGGGACAGTGTGTATCCGAAACCGGAGCACAGTACACGTGCAAGACAAAAAAATGGTCAGCAAAATCATCCTCATTCATATTGAATAAACAATCGAGCGGGATGAATGACAGATTTGTACTGTGTGCAAAACGAAGCTTACGTTTTTGCACTGATCATTTAACCTGTTTTCAGTGTAATCACAAATATTGTGCTACATTCGGGCCTGACATAGTTGTTCAATACTGCCGGATGTCCAACAATGAAATAACGAGAACAAACGTTTGATTTTTCCAACTCACTCTTTCAGGAAACCTGAAACACAGCCAAATAAATATACCAAGGAATTCCAATCTTGAAAGTTTTCGCGGAACGACTATATGATTGTAATGCTCACGATGTTAATTTGCGTTTCTCAATAACTGACTATGTACATCGGTCGCAAATGCCATTTACATGTGACATTGGCATATCTTGTACCGAGTTAAGTTGACCACCTTTCGGTCCCCAGTCCGCAACAAGGACTCGCCGTAGTGCGTATCTTACACACACCTATGTTTAAGACAATATCAGACAGTAAAACGCACACACGATAAAATCTTAGTTTCAACCGTGTGTCAATTTGTGTTGCAATATCACATCGCCTGCGGTGATGATCTAGTGGTAAAGGTCACCAACTTACCGCCCGCGGGGAACGTGTGTTCGAATCCCACCAATCCCACTCGTTTTATCTGTGTTGTAGGACAGCTCTCTGATTGACCGGTTCTCTCTACCTGAAAATTTCATCAGTTTCTATTCAATAAAAGAAACTAAGAACACACAATGTAGGCGAACATATGTTTTCCGTGAATTCCATTTCAAATTATTGTTTGGCAGATAGAAGGATTTATCTCGAGATTGTGAAAAGTTCAGTAGCCTCTTTGAGATGCGAATCCACGCATAGACGCCGCCTACGCATCTGTACTGCGCACGGTCTGCAGAAGCTTAGACGGAGNNTCCAATCCAAGCGAAGCCACTGAACGTTTCACAATCTCGACATATATCCATTTCAGGTATTTACAACCAGGTTCACATGAAACAATTTCACTAGGGTCATACAGAATGGTTGATGAGTCATGTGTTTGGCATGATCCCGAGAGAACTCGAGAGAACCCGAGAGAACTCCAAAGTGATAGGCTATTTGGATTACGTAACGAAAATGCGCTACTTTACGTCATGGACATATGAACAAAAGATTTACTCTCCTCCTGAACAGGGGAGTTTTGAGAGCTTGGATCAAATTTCGTTTTGCGCACACAGCTCAGGCTTTATGANCTTTATGAGTCGGATTGTATCATATTGTATTGTGTATAACTTATGCAAGCACTGCAGTTCACAATTCCGTTAAAAATCATACACGCTACTCGTATGACCGTCACAATGCATTTAATCAACTCGGTGAAACGGTTTAAACAGGCAAGGGGACATTTCATAATACAAGGTTGAGACAAATTTCACTTATTACCCTCTCGTAGTTGACGGGTGAACGTGCAAGATACAGTATGGGTGAATTGCGGTATGCATTAATTCGAGATGAAATTTGGCGGAATTGGGAGCATGTTCAATGATGGAAACGACAACGTGTCAGTTCTGCGTGCAATGGGTGGTCAGGATATGTGAGAATCCTCTCAGTGAATTTCACACAGGAAGTTACAGCTTTAAAAATAACTCATTCACAGGAATATAAGAGACGCGGTTAGTGATAATTAGATCGCGGCGTAAAACCTCAAAACCCTATTTCAGTAGGCCACGACAAATAACTGAGAACAATAAACAAAGATGAGTAAAAGAAAAATTGATATACAAAGACAGAAGTAAATGATTGGAATACGCGAAACTGCCTGAGCTTTCATATTTGAAATGATAGGTGCCCCATTGGATGGGTGTTAACCAACGATGATTGCTACCTATGATTACACCAAGATATTTGACAGAGTTCACCCTGGATAAATGGTTGTTCTTAACCACTGTGGGATCTGTCGGATATGGAGAGCGAGCAAAACTATATAAACACTCAACACATTTACTGGGGTTCAAGGTTAGCCACGATGAGGAGGTGAATGACTGAATTTGATCAAGATTATCGGTGAAAGAGCTCAGATCGGAGTAAGAATGAGTGGGTTGGTGCAACACAACATCATCTGCACATTTCAAAATTCGTGCAGGGGAAACACAGGGAATATCACAAATATAAGTGGTAAATAAGTATGGGGATAGCACAGCTCCTTGAAGGACCCCAGAGTTGTTGACTAAGGGTTTCGAGGTGGTCTTTCCCAATCTAGTTGTTTGTACTCTATCAGTAAAATAGTTGGATAGCCAAGCTAACAACTGCTTGGGGGCATTCAAACGATTCCAAATTTTGTAACAAATTTGATCGAGGAATGGAATCACTGGCA